TTGCTCAGGGGCAGTAACAGCGCGAACTATGAATAATCTGGAGGGTTGGGGCTGGTATCAACACTTTAACCACATTGATTTGGGGCAAAGGCTTCATAAAATGTAACTGCTAAGAATGTAAAAATGTTGGTTTTAAATAGAATGGTAAGCTGTAAAACTAGCCTTGAAGCTAGTGTTAACTAAACACTGCCTAAAAAAACGTTTCTAGAGAGGAACAAGAAACATCTTATGAACACATTTTATGGAATTAATATTTCTTACACATTTATTTACGACCAAAATGATCAAATATAGTTATTTACCTGATTTTGAGCCAAATTGTTAATGTTGTTGCCCTCTGCCATGAGCAACTCTGCGCAGGCTCGATTGTTAATGTCTGTGAGCAGTGACGTATTATTGACAGTTTGCTCACTGATGAAATTTGTATTCTCAAAAAGAAAATGCAAGCACACAAAAAAAAATCGTATTCACAAGTACGAAATCACACATACAGTTTTACATTTTTTTATTATTAATTACGAAATTCCATGTCTTTTTAGTTTGTATTATCTTAATCATGAATTCATAAAAATAAATTATGCACAAATACCAATAAATATGCACGCATTTTTTTTAGACATGCACGTCTTTATTGACAGTAACCTTACCCCATAGATTTGATTCATTGAAATGTCGCCAAAAATCTTTTTTTTTTTTATTGTATCCACACTATCTCCCTGATATGTGTGTGTTTGAAATCTTTTTCCAATCAATGATAGCAATTTTTGTTTTTGAGTTATAGCCTTTCAAAGTCCAGATACTTTAATTGACACTTTACTGTGAACGCACTCACTTAGTTTATACTTGCTTCTTTATTATGCTAAATAAAGAGATTTTATACTTGCTTCTTTATTATGCTAAAGCCAGAGATTTTATACTTGCTTCTTTATTATGCTAAAGATAGAGATTTTCGATCATTATTTATTGTTGGATTGAAAGTTACCTACCCCGGCTTTAACAGAATCCATACCTCATCATCTCTGGGTCTGTCTTCAGAAACATTCCCTTCATTACAATGATAAGTTAGTACATATAGTATTTATATCAACAAATATTGTACTTATATTTTTACATACCCTTTTGTAGTATCTTGCAAAGAAGGAGGCCAATAATTAAGAGAGTAAAAGCGAATGCAGCTGATATGACTGAGATTGTGATGTTGCTTTTTTGATCTGGTGGAGAAAAGGAAAAGGAAAAAAATATTATTGTAAATGGTAATAGTTACCAAACTAGTTATCCAAGCAGCTAAACATAAATGCAGAAACTGTTTACTGAACCAATATAGTGAAACTGTAACAATGAAACACATACAAACCATGTATTATATGTGATGAGTGAAAGACAATAAATCTAGAGCCAAGAAAAGTTGTGCACAGAATACACCAAAAACGCTACCATCAAACAAGCATTACAAAGGAAAGGTGCTTATGTGTCACTTTGTGATACTCACACACAATGCTTTAACAAACACCAAAGTAATAATGACCAGGAGTAAAAAAAAAGCCATTTTACCGTAGTGAGAACTGAGCTACATCCTGTTAACTTTCTTCTTCTGCTAACACATAAAGGATATTACCATAAACGGCCAGAAGATGGCAGATTAGCAACTAAGAACATACAATAACTAAACATAGTAAACATAACAACTTTGTACCAACAGAACACACAAAATAAACTTCAGTCCACTTTAAGGAATGCCGAAAGGTTTATTTAGGGTGTATTCAGACCTGAAAAGTCCTTTGCTCCGCTTGTTTGATCCGAATCAAAAGCAGACCAAACTTTTTTTCTTTTGCTCCGGTTCTTATTCAGACTGTATTTTTTGCAAGTGAACGTTTTTATATAAACATATCGACACGTGTGACGATCGGCGCTCCTATTGGACAGCGAGAGCTCACGGAGGATAGACGCGGAACCGGAGGAAAACATTGAGGGCTCGTATGTGCAGCATGTCTGCTCTGCCTATGTTTGCTCTTTTTAGAGCAAAACCACCTTCAACATCAACAGCAGCAGCTCATATGACGCAGGCCAAACACGTTGTTTTAAATATTGGAACAGCGTCGGAGAATGCGTGAGGAGAAAGCCGAAGAGGACTGTCTGTGCGCTCCGTGTCCTGTCCCACACATGGATCTATGATAATAACGGCCCTGTTCAGCATTGTGGATAAACCATGAATCTATAATAACCACGGGACAAACAGACGCTGAGGATCAGGTAGGAACCAAAGAACACAATTCACTACATGATGTGGAATATTGCTCTTTGAGACGTGAGTCAAACACGTGATTCTTTTAATAATGCAAATGGTTTGAAGATGCTGCCATTAACATCAATGTATACTGTGAACAGTTCTAACTCCATAAGCCTGTTGCACAGTGTCTCCTCACTGCTCCAGGTCTGCACACGGCTCATTGTTGTTGTGTAGCGTTAGCAGCATAGTTAGCAGCTGCGTGGCTAATTCCTCACAGTTTCTGTCTGCGGCTTGATAATCCCAAAAAATGCGCACATATCTTGGAGTTGTGTCGGATCGACACCGGATGTATTCAGACCTGATTCGACTTGGACCAGAATTTGTTTGGAAGCGGACAGAGACCACCTAAAAAAGTGGGTCTCGGTTCGGTTCTTTGGTCCGGACCAGGATTTGTTTGTGTGTATTCAGACCTGCATAAAAGCTTCTGGATCAGAGTTCCAAACGAATCCTGGTCCGTTTAAAGTGGAGCAAATGTGCAGGTCTGAATACACCCTTAATGACAGAAAATAAAATAGTTCCCAAAGGCTTTCCCGTGGCTATGCGAGTAACAGTTAGGCTAGCAACAGCTAGGCTAGTTACAGTTAGGCTAGCAACTTCCAAACTAGAACTCTCTGGAACTGCATGAAAACAGAACAAAGAATTCTGAACATCAGCGGTGAGTGACCCAAACATAAACCTAACCTAAATCCATAATTTGATCCTCTGCAAATGTTCCTAAAATGTCCCGGAATCTACTTACGGGTTTTTGGAGATCGCTTTTTCTCGCATTAAAACAATATTTTTGTCACGAAAACCTTAACAGATACTTCTGAAAACCTCCGTGCATGTGTATTAAGAATGTATATGTATAATGTTTTCTCAGATAAACAATTAAATGTGTTGATTGATTGGTATATGCGTTTTTTGTGCGTGGCTAGCGACGAAGTGACCGGACTACTTGTAGAGTAATCTTCACATCGGAATTACAAGCACAAAGTGCGTTGCCAAAGGGCAGCGGTCATTATTGTTTTGAGAGGTCGGTTATCAAGAAATAATGATCGGTAGAACGTTTTGAAATTACATTCAAATCAATAGAGCTACTGCAGCTGTGACTGTGTAATAAAGTGTTCTAACTGACGGTGATTGGCCGGAGTGCTGCTGGAAGCCACGGTCCCCAAGGAATTTCCACATATACTGATTTGCTGTTGGATCAGAGGTCACTGCCTTCCGTTTAGTTACAGGAACAGTTACAAACCACTTTGTAAAACGGGCAATAAATAGCAATATTTGAGTAGATTTTTTCATTTCATTTTGGTTCTTTATTATGCTATAATTAAAGATTTTATTTTATGTTAGAATAGAGTTATTTTTCATTTATCTTGTGCTGTGTGTGCTCCTCATTCCTACTGCTGATGTCGACACATTAGAGTTGATGAATCTATTTGAAAATAAAGGCGTCTTACCATGGATTGTTAAAGATGTGCTTGTAAAAATCACAGTTCTCTTGTTGAGCTGGTCCCCACAGAAGTACAGACCAAAGTCGTCCATCTCCACGGTTCTGACGGTCAGATAAACCTGTGAATCGTTTATTTCCATCGTATATTTCTCCCGTTTGTTTGTCTCTGTGGCGTTGAAAGTAACCTTGCCGTTTGCGTCAAACATTGAACAGATCAGAGTCGTGTTGCGTTGATTTGCGTGGAACCAAAATATACGTCGACTCAGTTCCAGGTTCGAGGGTTTGGTGCAGTGGAGAGTCACATCAGAACCGAGTGGGACTTCCACGATCGAGAACTGGCCGTTTGTGAGCAAGACGAGGCCTGGGACGTAGAAATGATTCAATTATTACAAAACAATCTAAGGCTATTTCAATCTGCCTGTTCTATGCATGGTTGGTCTACGGGCGTGGTCATCGCTGAATTGGTCTTAATTTTAAAACTACAGGACACAAAAAACAACATAAAATAAATACAATACCATAATATAAACAAGGACAATAAATGTAGAGGTGAAACTTTGAAAATTGGGAGAGTATAGAATCAAATCTTTTTACTTTTGACTAAGATGAAAATTGATCCACGTCACATAAAAACCCATTCAAGAGAAAATTAAAGTAATAAAGTATGCACCAGCGAAGACCACAAACCGTAGAACAACCAATTGAATGAGGCCTGAAATAAAGGTCAATGATAAACCACAGCGAACATTAAGAAGAATACGCCTGCGTCAAAATGGACTTAAGTCAGATTTAAATACTTACAAGAGGCGACAAGTACAATCTGGTGAAGAGTCATAGTGGAAATGAAGTCTCTTGAGTATTGACAGCGTTTGGAGATAATCTCGCTGATGCTACAGTGTGAAAGGTTTATAGACAGAGAGAGAGAGAGAGAACAGGAGGAGTCAGAATAACCACAGTAACGGTATTAGACCCATGTCACTGTTATCTGCTGCATCTGAATTCTTTGATGTTTCAAGGACTGTTAAGTTCTGTTCTGCACTTGTATAACGCTGTATTGAGATCTTTGTCTATTTAAAATTCACGACTTTAGTTAAACCAACAATGGGCAACTTTTTGTGAACTTAAAATGTATGTACTTCTGTGGTTCCTAAAGTTCTTCAACAGCAGGTCCACGGTGTGTCTGGACCCAAGTACCCCAACAGACGTCAGAGCACAGGAGTGTCTGGTCACTGAGAATGAACTGGTATTTCCTTCTCTGCACCTCCATTTTAACCCCCTTCATCTGTTTCTGGGTCTGGGGAGTTGTCTCCTCCTGCAGGTGGTCTCCTCTCTGATGCTCCTGCAGGTGGTGGTCTCCTCTCTGATCCTCCTGCAGGTGGTGGTCCTCTCTGATCCTCCTGCAGGTGGTGGTCCTCTCTGATCCTCCTGCAGGTGGTGGTCCTCCCTGATCCTCCTGCAGGTGGTGGTCCTCTCTGATCCTCCTGCAGGTGGTGGTCTCCTCTTTGATCCTCCTGCAGGTGGTGGTCCGCGCTGATCCTCCTGCAGGTGGTGGTCTCCTCTCTTATCCTCCTGCAGGTGGTGGTCCTCTCTGATCCTTCTGCAGGTGGTGGTCCTCCCTGATCCTCCTACAGGTGGTGGTCCTTCCTGATCCTCCTGCAGGTGGTGGTTTCCTCTCTGATCCTCCTGCAGGTGGTGGTCTCCTCTCTGATCCTCCTGCAGGTGGTGGTCCTCTCTGATCCTCCTGCAGGTGGTGGTCTCCTCTCTGATCCTCCAGCAGGTGGTGGTCCTCTCTGATCCTCCTGCAGATGGTGGTCCTCTCTGATCCTCCTGCAGGTGGTGGTCCTCTCTGATCCTCCTGCAGGTGGTGGTCCTCTCTGATCCTCCTGAAGGTGGTGGTCTCCTCTCTGATCCTCCTGCAGGTGGTGGTGTCCTCTCTGATCCTCCTGCCGGTGGTGGTGTGGTCTCTGATCCTCCTGCAGGTGGTGGTCTCCTCTCTGATCCTCCTGCAGGTGTTGGTCCTCTCTGATCCTCCTGCAGGTAGTGGTCCTCTCTGATCCTCCTGCAGGTGGTGGTCCTCTCTGATCCCGCTGCAGGTGGTAGTCCTCTCTGATCCTCCTGTAGGTGGTGGTCCTCTCTGATCCTCCTGCAGGTGGTGGTCTCCTCTCTGATCCTCCTGCAGGTGGTGGTCTCCTCTCTGATCCTCCTGCAGGTGGTGGTCCTCTCTGATCCTCCTGCAGGTGGTGGTCCTCTCTGATCCTCCTGCAGGTGGTGGTCTCCTCTCTGATCCTCCTGCAGGTGGTGGTCTCCTCTCTGATCCTCCTGCAGGTGGTGGTCCTCTCTGATCCTCTTGCAGGTGGTGGTCCTTTCTGATCCTCCTGCAGGTGGTGGTCTTCTCTGATCCTCCTGCAGGTGGTAGTCTCCTCTGATCCTCCTGCAGGTGGTGGTCCTCTCTGATCCTCCTGCAGGTGGTGGTCCTCTCTGATCCTCCTGCAGATGGTGGTCCTCTCTGCAGGTGGTGGTCCTTTCTGATCCTCCTGCAGGTGGTGGTCTTCTCTGATCCTCCTGCAGGTGGTGGTTGTTACGGGCAACGACCTATGGTGCCAGTTGTGCACTAGATGGCGCTCCCGTTGCCCTTTGTGTTTGTGTGTGCGCCTTCGTGTTCTGTACAGGTGTCTGTGCGGGAGATCTATTGGAGGGACTTGAAGTGTGGGCGTGGCCGGTCTAACGCCTGAGTGGCTGTAGTGGGACAAGAGCGTGGACGTCCTCCAACCCCGGGGATCCATCACTGAGGGCGGCCCCATAAAACCTCCCACTCACCGTCAGCTCGAGGCAGCTGGACTTGTCCGTGCCAGTCTGCCGTCACTGCTCCTCCTGTATTGTTCTGTTCCCTTACGTTGTCACTTTGTAATTTTGAGCTCTAGTTTTGTATAGTGACCTTCGTTTTGTATTATCAATATTATTATTATTTCTGTATTCCTCCTTCGTTTCCCAATTCATTTTATTTTCTGTCATCATTAAAACCTTACTTTAAAATGGACAAATACCAATTCCATCTGGTTTTTTGCTACGTTCTCACTCCCTAGCTGAGCTGGACGTAACAAAATTGGGGGCTCGTCCGGGATCAGGTAATCCTTTTCCCATGTTCATTAAAAAAAAAAAGTAGGTAACAAATTTTGGTAGATTTAATAAGTGAATTGTCGTGCGCACTATTCTCAGGTGTTCCCGTGCAAACTTGTAATATGGCTGACTTTGACAGATTTTTATCACATCCTACAGAGGAGGAGTTGAATAAATATAAGAAAACTGAGTTAGTTGATATTGCAGAACTGTGCCAAATTGAAGTGGACAAAAACTTAAAGAAAGCAGAGTTGAAACATATTGTTGCATCCTGGCTGGTGGAGCACGGCGGCATGCACGTTCCTAGGCTTGAGGTGGAGGTCGTTGCTGGTCATTCGGAGCGTCCCGAGGCAACCTCTCTGGTATTGGGCCCGGAAGTTTGTCCCGCCGCAGCACGCGTCCCTCCCAAAGCAGAGGAGAGGCTGACAACGTCATCTCCTCCACCCGGTGTGTCTGAGAGTAGAGGCCGGCCTGATCACCCGACCCGCTTCTCTTGGGACCACTCGCCGGGTAGGCCGTCCCGTTTCCCCCAGGTTCCTACGCAGCACAGAGTACCTGTGGAGCGCCTGGGCGAGGAAGCGGAGGAAAGGGAGAGGGAGCGGCAAGCGACTATGGAACTTCAATACCGACTCAAGAAACTTGAGATCGAGGCCGAGACTGCGCTGAAAATGCGGCGGCTCGAGCTGGAGGCAGAAGGCCGTCTTCCTCTTAACCCTAGCCGGGTCGTTGCTGCTGTTGAGCCAGCCCACAGTCCAGTCCAACCTGTTGATGTGAGTAAATATGCTTCGCTTTTTCCAAACTTTCGTGAGTCTGAAATTGACAGTTATTTTTCTGCTTTTGAACGCATAGCCCAGGCTATAAATTGCCCTCCTGAGCTTTGGTCCACATTGCTCCAGTGTAAGTTAACTGGGAAAGCACAGGAAGTTTCTGCTGCTCTGTCTTTGGAGGAAAGTATGAGATATGAGTCTGTTAAAGTTGCTATTTTACGTTCGTATCAGCTGGTCCCTGAGGCATACCGGCAGCTCTTCAGAGGCCTCAAGAAGGCCCCAAATCAGACCTATGTAGAGTTTGCCCGAGAGAAACACACTTTATTTGAGAAATGGTGCACTTCATCACAAGTTAATTCATTTTGTGATTTGCGTGAATTAATTTTGTTGGAGGAATTCAAAGATAATTTAGCGGAGAGAGTTGTTATGTATTTGAGTGAACAGAAAGTTACCACGTTACAGGAGGCCGCGGTGTTGGCTGATGAATTCGCCCTGACTCATAGGACCACATTTGGTACGGCGAATAACCGGTCCTTTGTCTCAGAGCCAATTCGTAGGTCTGCCAACACGCCACCCGTTCACAAAGAGCAACGAGAGTGTTTTTACTGTCACAAACCTGGACATGTCATCTCTAACTGTTTGGCTCTTAAGCGTAAATCCAATTATTCTGCCACGGACTCGTTTGCTCAGTCCCAAGATTGATTTTGTTTGGTCGCAGGAGTGTGACCATGCGTTCTCCAGTTTAAAGTCTTTGTTGTTCGCTCTTCAGCATTTTGAGGTGTATGTTGGGTCGAGTTCGTTGCCTGTGTTGGTTTTTACAGACCATAACCCTCTTGTCTTTTTGTCCCGCATGTTTAACCATAATCAGCGGTTGATGAGGTGGGCTTTGATGGTGCCGGACTTTCACCTCGAAATCCGTCACAAGGAGTGGAAAATGTGTTGGCCGATGCCCTGTCCAGGTTTTGACAGTCCATCGCTATAGTACCCCCTGGTTATTACCGTAGTTCCAATTGGCTACCTGACCGTGTTTATTGAAAATGAGTAGTTTCGCTCTTAAGGGGGGGAGTGTTACGGGCAACGACCTATGGTGCCAGTTGTGCACTAGATGGCGCTCCCGTTGCCCTTTGTGTTTGTGTGTGCGCCTTCGTGTTCTGTACAGGTGTCTGTGCGGGAGATCTATTGGAGGGACTTGAAGTGTGGGCGTGGCCGGTCTAACGCCTGAGTGGCTGTAGTGGGACAAGAGCGTGGACGTCCTCCAACCCCGGGGATCCATCACTGAGGGCGGCCCCATAAAACCTCCCACTCACCGTCAGCTCGAGGCAGCTGGACTTGTCCGTGCCAGTCTGCCGTCACTGCTCCTCCTGTATTGTTCTGTTCCCTTACGTTGTCACTTTGTAATTTTGAGCTCTAGTTTTGTATAGTGACCTTCGTTTTGTATTATCAATATTATTATTATTTCTGTATTCCTCCTTCGTTTCCCAATTCATTTTATTTTCTGTCATCATTAAAACCTTACTTTAAAATGGACAAATACCAATTCCATCTGGTTTTTTGCTACGTTCTCACTCCCTAGCTGAGCTGGACGTAACAGTGGTCCTCTCTGATCCGCCTGCAGCTGGTCCTCTATGATCTTCCTCCTGTGTGTTCATTGTTTATTGGTCGGGGTCCCATCGTCAAGTTGTGAAACAGGCGATGGGATAGCAATGAACATTAGGACCACAATAGAACCTATAACACAACCTATACCTTACCATATTCCTCCAGCAGGGGGCTCCATTTGCAACGTCACTGACAATTTGTGTGTTTTGACATCAAGTTGTATTTCTAAGTCAGTCTTGTGGAACTATTGTCAACATGAACAATTTATTGTATATTTAAAATTGTTTTTTTGTTTTAAACTATAGCATGGGTGTCAAAGTCAAGGCCCAGGAGCCAGATCCGGCCCACAAATTAATTATCTTGGCCCTCGGGATGATATTCGATTAGTATTAGAACCGGCCGCACAGAGCCATAAGAATAGATATTGGGTTATTAATTTAATGTTCAGGATGTGTTTTCTCTTGTTTTTTGTCTATGAGTCTGTTACTGACAGAGCCGTACACAAATATTGGATTATTGGAAAAAAAAAAAAGGAGTTTTCACACACCGTGGTTCTATGTGTCTACAAGATGGCGACAGCAGGTAGCAGCAGCTTGGCAGGTGCTGATGCTTTACCTTTTCTAAAGTCATCTGGAAAGCCGCCCGATTTAACATCCGCCCCTAAAACCTGGATATTTTGGTCATCAAAGCCAACCAAAGCCAAGGCACTAAATGTGCTTATTGTATCGCTCTACCTCACGACGATCATCACTACGCAAATGTTTGGGAGTTGGATTGCTGCCAGTGAACGTTCAATCTCACAAGAAAGCGGCATAGCTAGGCTTGTTACACCCCTCGACTCGTGGAGCCAGTATGTCATCTTCTCCAAAGTTCTTGATGATGGGCGTGTAAATGCTCCAAAGAAGCAACACGAACCGAAAGCACGGAGAATGGCTCAAACGGTCTACCGGGGCTGTTCAACTCTTCTCTGCATTATCCTACTTCTATGCGGAGATATTCAAGTAAACCCAGGGCCCACGGATCTACAACAATCGCTGCAGGTGGCGGAGACCGCTCTGATCCACACCCCGCACACTTTCAACACTGCGCAGATACTACCGGCTACTATTGCTAACAGTGCGCCAACGATGCGCGCATCCACGTTTACTACACTGCAACAAGGTAACCTCCTGGCACAACACTCGCTTAAACTAGCAAATGAAAGCGGCAAATCAAACGCTATGCAAACTATAGCTGTCTCCAAACAAAGCCAGATGAAACTATTTCAGACAGTAAACCATGCATCGGTCCTATGGAACCCGCTGACAAAGCCGAAAGGAATTTTCGGAGGACATATTAACATACGCAGCGTAATGTCTAAAACGGAACAGTTGGAACATCTACTGTTGGGGTCAAATCTACATTACCTGTGTCTTTCCGAAACTTGGATTACAGCTACAACTCCTGTATCGGCATTCATGATTCCTGGATTTAAAGTATACAGACGGGACAGAGGAAAGGGAAAAGGGGGCGGGGTCTTGATCTACGTAAAAGACAGTATTGACAGTCACCAAATAGACATTCCGGATCAAACTATAGAGTGTGTTGGTGTTACAATTAAACTATCGCCCCAAATGTAATTTAATGTACTTTGTGTATATAGACCACCAAATGCAACAAGTGAATTCTATACTGGTTTAACAAAAATTCTAAAAACTTATGAACGAAAGGAAATATTGCTCATGGGTGACCTCAATATAAATTGGCTTGATAAAGGCAAGAGGAAACACCTAAAAGCCATTGCAAACTCAATACAAATGACACAACTGATTAAAAAGCCAACTAGAATAACAAAAACTTCTCAAACTTTGATAGATTTAATATTTACCAATAAACCAGACAGGGTAATTAAAACATACAATCTAATAACTGGACTGTCTGATCACAATCTTGTTCTAATAGCCAGGAAATTAAATAAATCAAGATACATAAATAAAGAACAATCAAACAAACAATGCAAAAATCCTCATATTTCTAAAAGAAATCAAGAGCTCCTTAAAAATGATTTAAATGAAATCGACTGGACCTCCAAAATTGATAGTGAAAGCTGTGGTCATACATGCAACAATATTATAACTGCTATAAAGGATAAAATGTATAGATATACACAGCTCAAACATAGAAAATCAAATAAAAAGAGGCTCCCGTGGTTTAATAAATCTCTCTGGGACACAATGAAACATAGAGATAAAGCTCTCAAGGTTTCATTAAAAAGTAAACTAACCACTGATCATTACATCTATAAATCTATGAGAAATAAAGTTACCATGCTGCTTCGAAAAGCAAAAGCAAATTTTTTTCTTGACTCAATCAAAGAGGCAAAAGGTAATTGAAAAATCTGTGGAGGAGCATGGATAAACTATTGGGAAGGAAAAAAATATATCCGGAGCACTTACAGCTCAAAATTAATGGAATAGTTCAAAATGAGGGCTCTATTCTGGCTAAACATTTCAATGATTATTTCTTGGATTCTGTGGTAGACCTGGCAGAGGCTTTTTCTGAAGTAAACTGCTGCAGAGATGATCTTGGGGATGGAAATGCCCTCTGCAACCTACAGTCTCGCTGTAGGTTGCAGAGTATAGAGGAAGACAATATTTCCAAAATAATAGCAAATTTAAAAAATAGTAAAGCAAAGGATATTTTTGGACTTGATACATTTCTTTTAAAAGAACACAAAATGATTCTAACTCCAGTACTAACAATAGCTGTGAATCAGTCTATAAATGAAAACAATTTTCCTTTGGCGCTGAAAAAAGCAGTAGTCAAGCCGATCTTCAAGTCAGGAGACAAGCTCTGTGTGTCAAACTATCGACCTATTAGTATCCTACCAGCCATCTCCAAGGTCTTTGAGAAGGTGGTGGCAGAGCAGCTAGTGGAGCATCTCGACCACACTGATGCATTACATCCCTGCCAGTTTGGTTTCAGGAAAGAATACTCCACAGAGTCCGCGTGTTGCTACCTACTAGAGGACATCAAATCCAGTCTTGATGTTGGTGGTGTGGTAGGGGCGGTCTTTCTGGACTTGAGAAAAGCCTTTGATACAGTTAATCACCAGCTTCTCATCGGCAAACTATCTAATTTTTCTCTTGACAAAAATACAATAGCATGGATTCAATCTTACCTTAATGACAGACAACAATGTGTTGCAGTCGACAATATAAAATCACCCTTAAAACCTTGCAGCATGGGAGTGCCACAAGGTTCCATTCTGGGCCCCCTGCTGTTTACACTATACATAAATGACCTGCCAACTGTCTCTAAGAGTAAAATTATTATGTATGCTGATGACACGGTGCTATATGCACATGGCAAAACTGCGGAAGAAGTTGCTCTAAAACTGACTAATGAGATGAAGAAAGTTTCTCTGTGGCTGAAAAACTCATGCCTTACTTTAAATTTAGATAAGACAGTTTCGATGTTTTTTACAAATCGTCATAAAATACAAAATTGCCCTGAGATTTTAATTGATGGACAAATCATTACAAATTCAGAGCAGGTAAAATATTTAGGTGTCATATTGGAACCAAATTTAGGCTTTAAAAAGCACATAAAAAAGTTATCAAATACAATAAAATTTAATATAGCACAGTTCAGATACATTCAAAATTCCCTTACAATCGAGGCCTCAGGAGCCTATCTAAATGCAATGATTGTTCCACATTTTCTTTATTGTATGACAAGTTGGTCACAGGCTTGTAAATCTGCCCTCAGGCCACTTGAGTCATTATATAAAACGTCTCTAAAGATACATGATAAAAAAGGCAGACGATTCCATCACTGTCATATCCTTGTAAAATACAAACTACTTAGCTTTGAAAATTTGATAAATCATAACAATCTGTGTCTGATGTATAAGATCCTCCATGACACCGCTGCTCCTCCACTAAAAACGTTCATCTCTTTGGGCTCTGAAACAACAACTCGAGCCACTAGATCTACAGTGCGAGGCGAATGTAGGATACCAAAGCGAAAGACAGCATTTGGAAACTCTGCTTTTTCTTGTGTGGCCGCTCGTCAGTGGAATATGCTGCCTACAGAGCTGATTCTGTGATTCTTATGTTTATAAATTACTTGTGTGATTTTAATGCTTTTTAATTACATATGTGTTTTTAATTGTATTTTAATGGTGATGATTTGTGCATTGTGTGGTGTGGATTGTGAGGCGCTTTGTGTTGCCCTGTGCAGGAAAAGCGCCCTATAAATAAAGATTGATTGATTGATTGATTGATTGTGTAAAAGTTTGTGCTTGTTATCATTCTCACGCCTGGCAAAGAAATGGCTCCTGTCAAATCAATCTTGCATCCACATGTAACTGGATGTATGTCTGTATGTGTGTTCTGAGGTCTAAAAGAGTAGACCTGAGTAAATGAAAGGTGTGTATAAGAGTTTGTATCTGATTGTTGTGCATGTGAAGATTTGCTTTTACTATTATGAACTTGATCAATGTAAATGCCATTATCCATGTGTGCATGATGTTTTTATGTTTTTTACTATAACATCAGCCTGCCCAGGGACTACGGGTGGAAATTAGCTCTTGAGCTATAACTTGGTACAATGCATCTCTCCCCTTGGGGTTAATGTTTATTGTACACTGTCCCTGTTTCTCTAAATAAAGAAAATTACAAATTACAAATTACATCCCCCCGTCAGGAGACTGGGCCGCAGCATGTGAGGGGATACACAGAACTGTGACCCAGATCCAGACCCGCAGTCCCCGCACTCTGATTCTGATCAGCGGAGACTTTAACCACGCCTCCCTCTCCGCCACTCTCCTGACATTCAAACAGTATGTCACGTGCCCAACTCGTGGCAATAAGACTCTGGACCTACTGTATGTTAATGTGCAGGACGCATACGCCTCCTCCCCCCTCCCCCCTCTCGGACGCTCTGATCACAGTCTGGTCCGTCTGTCTCTGGAATACACACCAGTGGTGAGAAGAAATCCAGCGCAGAAGAGGATTGTAAAAGTGTTGAGCGATGATGTGGATGAGATGCTGAGAGATTGTTTTCAAAACACTGATTGGGAAATGATCTGCAGCTCTCATGGTGAGGACATCGAGAGCCTGACACACTGCATTACAGACTATATTCTCTTCTGTGTGGATAACACTGTACCAACTAAGAAGGTGCAGTGTTTTTCTAACAACCACCCATGGGTGACCCCTGAGCTTAAAGCCCTCCTGAACCTCAAGAAAAGGGCTTTCATCTCAGGGGACAGGGAGGAGCAGAAGAGGATCCAGAACGAGCTCCAGTGGAGGATCAGGGGGGCCAAGAAGGACTATGGGAAAAATCTGGAGCAGAAGCTGGCCCAGGGAAACGCCCGCGACGTGTGGAGAGGCCTAAAGAACATCTCCGGCTTTGGACAGAGTGCCCATGTCACACCCCAGCCCTGAGACCGTGCTTCCTGTTTTATTTTGTACTTACCTTGTGTGTCTCATTGCAGTACTCTTCACTTCCTGGTCCTTGTCTGCCTTCACTCCTGTGATTACCAGCCCCGCCCTAATGTGTTGCACCTGGGTCCCTACTCCCTCCAGTGTACTTAAACCCCCTGTTTCTTTGTTTCTGTGCCAGATTGTCTTGTACCCTGTGTTTAAGCCTTCAAGCCTTATTTTGTATTAAAAGTCTTCTGGAGTCGTTGCATTTTGAGTCCTTCCGTTTTGTGGTTCTGATAGTACAATCTGGCCACAATATGGACCCAGCCGACTCAAACCAGCTTAAAAACGCACTGCGTGTTCATGGACAGATGATTTCTCAGCAGGAACAAGGACTTGCCGCCGTGAAACAGGAGCTACAGAGTGTTTCACAGAATTTTTCGGATCTTCAGACTGCAATTGGTGAGCAATTTGATAATCTCACCAAAGCTATACAAGCCCTCACCACCTCGGCCCCTCCCCCACATGCTGCCATCCAAGTTACTCAAGAGGCGAGTAATCCAGCTCCACTACAAGCAGCTCCTCAGCCCACTCACCAACCTGTACATGTGTCTGCACCAAATTTGTCTCAGCCGGCACGCTTTTCTGGGGAGTCTGGGGACTGTAGAGCTTTTCTCACCCAATGCGATCTTCACTTTGAGCTCCAGCCATTGACCTATCCCTCTGACCGTGCCAAGATTGCCTACATTATATCCCACCTATCTGGTCGTGCTGAGGCTTGGGCAACAGCTGAGTGGAGCCGTGATTCGTCCGTGTGTTTAAATCTCCGCCAGTTCATAAAATCTTTCACCCAGATTTTTCAACATATATCTCCGGGACGGGAGGCGGCCAGGGCCCTAGTGAGTCTGCGTCAAGGAAGACGCAGGGCATCTGATTACGCCATTGAGTTTCGGACACTAGCTGCAGAGAGTGAGTGGAACCACTCTGCCCGGATTGATGCCTTTTTACATGGTCTCTCCAGTACATTAAAGGACCAGCTTGCCCCCTTGGATTTGCCCGACGATTTGGATGAACTTATTTCCCTGGTAATTAAGATTGACAAGCGCATTTATGAGAGGGAGAGGGAGAGGTTCCGTTTCAACCCAGACCGTCGAGGTAATCCAGGCGCCACCTCTGTTCCATCCTGGTACGCTTCCTCTGGGCCGTCTCTGCCTCTCTCTGGCTCTGAGTCGTCTGACCCACCCGAAGAACCCATGCAACTTGGTCGTACTCACCTGACTCCAGCGGAGAGACAGCGTCGTATTCGTGAAGGACGATGCTTCTATTGTGGGCAAATGGGACATTTTGCCAGTCGCTGTTCGGTAAAAGGCGGGGCTCATCAGTGAAAGAGAGGGTGCTGGTGAGCCGTACACAATTATGTAAAACCCACTCTCACCCCACGTTCACAGTGACTATCACTTCTCTCTGTGCCCCTCATAAACAGGTGGTGATGGTGGACTCTGGTGCTGATGCTAACCTTATGGACATCGACCTAGCCAAAGGTCTGGGTTTGGAGTTTGTGCCCCTTGCTACTCCCCTGGTGGCCACTGCTCTGGACGGCAGACTTCTCTGGCGAGTTACCCATCACACCACCCCAGTAACATTCAGTTTTCCTGATGGCCATACAGAGACCCTAAGTTTTCATTTATTTCACTCCTGCCTTCACCCTTTAATCCTGGGCCTGCCCTGGTTGTTACAGCATAATCCCCACATAGACTGGGTCGCTGGTCTCATTAAGGCCTGGGGAGACGGCTGTGTCAACTGCTTTCCTGAGAAAAGACCTAGTCCTGTTAAAATATCTGAAAATGACTATCCAGATCTGTCTTGCATTCCCTCATGTTACCATGACCTTAAGGAAGTCTTTAACAAGGCCATGGCCACCTCGTTACCGCCTCATAGGGCCTATGACTGTGCCATCGACTTGCTGCCTGGAACTGCTCCCCCTAAAGGCCGCCTTTACTCCCTGTCTAAACCGGAGACACAAGCAATGAAAGAATACATTGAAGCCTCCCTGTCTGCTGGGACTATTCGCCCGTCTTCCTCACCCGCTGGAGCTGGATTCTTCTTTGTGGAAAAGAAGGACAAGTCACTACGTCCGTGTATCGACTACAGGGGTCTGAACAATGTGACCATCAAGAACAGGTACCCCCTCCCTCTGATTTCCTCTGCATTTGAACTGTTACAAGGCGCTAAGATTTTCACCAAGTTGGATTTGAGGAATGCTTACCATCTTGTCAGAGTCAGAGAGGGGGACGAATGGAAGACGGCGTTTAATACTCCTAGTGGCCATTATGAGTACTTAGTCATGCCATTTGGCCTAACGAATGCCCCTGCAGTGTTCCAAGCGTTAGTAAACGACGTGCTACGTGACATGCTTAATGTGTTTGTGTTTGTATATCTTGATGATATTCTGATCTTTTCTCCTACCGTCGAGTCTCATGTCGAGCATGTCCGCCGTGTTCTCCAACGTCTTCTGGACAACCAGCTGTTTGTGAAGGCGGAAAAGTGTGAGTTCCACCAGTCTACAGTGTCCTTCCTGGGGTATGTGGTGGCTGAGGGGGAGGTGAGCATGGATCCTGACAAGGTGAGCGCAGTCCAGAACTGGCCTGTTCCTGGTAGTCGCAAGGAATTGCAGAGATTTCTGGGCTTTGCTAATTTCTATGGAAAGTTCATTAGAAATTTTAGCTCCATAGCCGCCCCGTTACATGCACTCACTTCCTCTAAAGCAACGTTTTTTTGGACGCCCCGAGCCGACCGAGCTTTTCACAGGCTAAAGACCTGTTTTGTCAGTGCTCCTGTTTTAGTTTTGCCACAGTTGGACTTGCAATTTATCGTGGAGGTTGATGCATCTGATGTTGGGGTTGGTGCCGTCCTCTCCCAGCGCAGTCCGGGGGACGGTAGGCTCCACCCTTGTTCATTCTTGTCTCGCAAATTGTCTCCTGCAGAAAGGAATTATGACGTTGGAAATCGGGAGCTATTGGCAGTCAAAGTGGCGCTGGAGGAATGGAGGCACTGGTTGGAGGGGGCCGAGCACCCATTCCTTGTCTGGACCGATCACAAAAATCTGGAGTATCTCCGTACTGCCAAGAGACTGAATTCCAGACAGGCAAGGTGGGCCCTATTCTTTAATAGATTTAATTTTACTTTGTCTTATCGCCCTGGTTCAAAGAATGCTAAGCCAGATGCCCTATCCCGCATTTTTGAGACTGCATCGGCCACACAACCTCCAGAGACTATCCTGCCCTCTACGTGTGTGGTTGGGGCAGTGTGCTGGGAAGTAGAGGAGAGTGTTAAGCAGGCTACCAAGCACATGCCTCTTCCATCCGGCTGTCCACCTAACCGCTTGTTCGTACCCCCTGACCTTCGTTCTCAAGTGATCACCTGGTCCCACACCTAAGTTTTTCTGTCATCCAGGTGTCAAAAGGACTCTTTTTACAGTGCAACAGAGATTCTGGTGGCCAGCCATGGAGAAGGATGTCAAGGACTATGTTGCCGCATGCCCTGTCTGTGCTCAGAACAAGTCGACCAACCAACCCCCAGCTGGTCATCTCCATCCTCTTCCAGTTCCAGCACGCCCCTGGTCTGACATATCCATGGACTTTGTAACAGGCCTCCCTCTGTCTGAAGGTAACACTGCTATCCTCACTGTTGTGGACAGATTCTCTAAAATGGCCCATTTCATTCCTCTGCCTAAACTGCCCACCGCTAAGGAAACGGCGGAGATTGTTCTTGTGCATGTGTTCAGGTTACATGGACTTCCGAGAGATGTTGTCTCTGATAGGGGACCCCAGTTCACCTCCCGCTTTTGGAAAGCCTTCTGCAATCTCTTGGGGACTTCAGTCAGTCTCTCTTCGGGGTACCATCCCCAGTCCAATGGCCAGACGGAACGGTTGAATCAGGAACTGGAGAAAGGGTTGCGATGTATGGTCTCGACGAACCCTACATCTTGGAGTAAACACCTGTTATGGGTGGAATACGCTCACAATTCACTCCCCTGTGCTTCTCATGGTCTTACTCCCTTTCAGTGTGCTTATGGGTATCAGCCCCCACTTTTCTCAGCCCTGGAGAAAGAAGTGGGTGTGCCCGCAGCCCAGGCTTTTGTTCACCGTTGCCGTCGGATCTGGAGCCGAGCCCGACAGACACTTCTGCGTCAGTCGGGGGTCTATAAGAAATCATCTGACAATCGTCGGAGTCCAGCCCCACAGTATCACGTGGGTCAAAAGGTGTGGTTGTCGACCCGGGACCTCCCACTTCACGTCGAAAGCCGTAAGTTGACCCCTCGGTTTGTTGGGCCATTTTCAGTTTCCAAAGTCATCAATCCTGTAGCCGTGAAGCTGAGACTGCCAAGGACCATGAGAGTGCACCCCACGTTCCATGTGAGCAGGATTAAACCCGTGAAGGAGAGCCCACTTGTTCCGCGAACCCCGTCGCCGCCTCTTCCCCGTGTTGTTGATGGTGATCTGGTGTACACAGTGAGAAGACTGCTAGCGGTCAGACGTCGTGGCCGGGGTCTGCAGTATCTTGTTGATTGGGAGGGGTACGGTCCCGAAGAGCGGTCCTGGGTGTCCGCCAGCCATATCTTGGACCCACAGCTGATTCAGGACTTCCACCGGCTTCATCCTGGTGTTCCTGGGCCGTCCGGTGCCGGCCCTAGAGGAGGGGGTACTGTCACACCCCAGCCCTGAGACCGTGCTTCCTGTTTTATTTTGTACTTACCTTGTGTGTCTCATTGCAGTACTCTTCACTTCCTGGTCCTTGTCTGCCTTCACTCCTGTGATTACCAGCCCCGCCCTAATGTGTTGCACCTGGGTCCCTACTCCCTCCAGTGTACTTAAACCCCCTGTTTCTTTGTTTCTGTGCCAGATTGTCTTGTACCCTGTGTTTGAGCCTTCAAGCCTTATTTTGTATTAAAAGTCTTCTGGAGTCGTTGCATTTTGAGTCCTTCCGTTTTGTGGTTCTGATAGATGCGGCTCTTTGCTGTAACACAGTAAAAAAATTGGCTCTTAGTCTGTGACTGGTTGGCCACCCCTGATTTAGAAGGTTAAGGACCATGACCACCTATGACAATAACATTACCATACTCCCTCTCTTTGGTCATGGGCCAAGTATAAAACATGCGTCTGTGTGTGTGTGTGTAGATTACTGTTCCAATCATCTCCAGTTGTTCCTCCCGGATCGTCCTCAATTCGTATTGTGAGCTTTGGTGCCAACGTAGAGGCTCATTTCCTTTATGATCCGTGCTACTGTGTCATCCCTGAAGCAGGGGTAGTTTATCTCTCATCTGAAAAAGAAACATTAGAACACAAGAAATGCCCACTTCCCTGGCATGGTGCAGCCTGTCAATCTTTTTCCAATTGGGCAAAACATAACTACATTGACATACGGTGTGTGACATCAGGGCAGAGGCTGTAGCCAAATACAGACTTAACAAAATGTATGTTTCTAATTTTATACTCCCCTAAATGTGAGTTACAAACCAAAGTTGTCCTCCGCCCAATGACCGCTCACTGCGGTTGGACCGAATCACTGTCAGGACAAACAGCAGAGGGGGAGGGACTCCCAGTACCTTCAGCAAGGTATTCATCTCAGAGTACTTACCGCAGAGTACTTTCTCAGAGTACTCATCCCAGAGTACTCTCACTTTTACACCTGTTCAATAAAGCTTGTTATCTTTTAATCTCTAGTACTTACACCGTATGCTGTTGACAAAAAATAATTATTCCATGATCACATTAAAACATTACAGAAAACATTTGTTATTCCATTCTCCGTTCAGCACTCCTCGTTCACTCCTCATTTCACAACACACTCACAACACACTCACACAGGCCGACTCCCCACGTTAGTATATTGGTCCAGAGTTTTGTTAAGGTCAACGTAGTGTACTTGACATGACGCACAAACATATAACATACACAAACATATAACACACACAAACATATAACACACACAAACATATAGACAACACAGGAGGCCTGTAATTTTAACTTTGTTATATTTTTCCATGTCCAATTACAATTGTCTCTCGAGTTATTTCTATTGTTGCAACTTTCAGAGCCTGCAGAACATGCAGAGCTTTAAGAGATTTTTCCTACAAGGATCCATTTCCAACTTTAGTGTTTAAACCACGAGGTCTGTACTCGGGCTTCTCACAGATTGTGTCCCCTATATTCTTAATGAGCTCTTGTTGTTACTTTAAAAGTCGTGCACGTGCAATAAATGTTTTTTCCTTCTTTTTCTTTTTCAGTAAAGCCAGGTCGGATTCATTAAAAATGTAAATTAGTCTCAAACTTTAATACTTCACCTTTGTTTCACGTTCATGTGGAGAAAAGACCATTGTTCTATGTGTGTTGTCGT